ACAACTTAAAGTATCTTTCTTTGACCCACCATTTTGTCACCTTTCCAAGGTGTCATTTTTTTTCAGATTACACTCCTGTAAAGACGCTATGTAAATGCAAGTTGCTCTTATTAGAGAACATTCTAGACAATTGATCTCTCCACGTAACTAAGAAGCTATCCAGGGACATGGATGTTGTCATGTAATGTCAATTTATGCAGATCAGTGATAGCTCAAATTTAATTCCTGATACATACGTAAGTAGCTGATCTTGATATCACTGAGGATTCTGCAATTAGTCTCAGTGTTAGTGATGTGAAGTGGGAACAAAATTAGTCACAGTTGGCAGCTTTGCTCACTATTCAATGATCCAGACTGGGAAAATTTATTTGAGTTAATGTCTGTTATCAGGCTTTCTTGTGATATCTGTCACTGCCACATAAACTTTCAGCACACATAGCAATACACGTGGAAAGTGGTTTCATAATCGTGGAACTCATGGTCTGCTTGGAACACTGTCCCATCACCAATCAGCAGGGAGGAAGTAAACAGATAGTTGTTTACTGTTTTTCCCTGAGTCTGTCACTTACCTTTGCTCTCGAAAATTAGTGGGTTGGCTCACAGGCAGTAGTGGAAAAAGTAATCATAAAAAAAATGGAAGTTCCGGAGGGCTACAGTTCTGTCATAGTAAGGCTTTGTAAGCACCAATGATTAGGTATAGTAAGAATATCATAGAAATCACAGGAAGAAGTATGAGGAAATGATGGATGTCTTTAATGGAGATTAAATTACCAATATTTTACTGTCCTCTGTCATGGCTGTTATTCATTCTTTCCTAGCTTTTTACTTACTGCATTCACCACTGCCTCAATTTCTGTGTGCCTCCCTTTCCTGTCATTACTCTTCAGTTTTCTGTTTTCAGTTTGTCCCTGAAAATACAAGAGGTAAAGACAGAACACTATGTGGTTAGGATGGAGAATGTCTGGAATATAGCGAACATTTAAGAAGAGATTGAATATATGGACAGATTCTATTAATAGGAAGGAACATGGTGAGATTAGCACAGATCCCCACCACTAACCCCCAACCTGTCCAGATGATGCCCAATTCTTGTGGTTAACCTGTTTAATACTTTGATCAATAATGCAGTCAGCAGTGTTTCCAGGAGCTTGGCCTTTGTAGAGGAAATTGACAGAAAAGGTACAGCTACAAGAAATCAAAGAGAAATGCAAAGACGATCGAAAGCAGTCACAAGCTGAAAGTGAGAGAGCACATGCAGGAGAGGAAACCAAAAGAATGTAATTTAAGCTATAATATTTTTGGGGTTGCATTGTTCAATGGGTTAGAAACGCTTCTTCAATTCTACCTGCTGTTTGAAGAGTTGCAACATTTCTGGTGTTGAATTATAACTTGTCTCTCATGACATTGCTAAACATTTAATAGCTCATCTGAAGTACTGATTTTTCCCACATGAAACTGGAGCATTAATTCTGTTTAGGAGTGGTTGTTCTGCTGTTGTTGTTTAAACCTTTACTTCCAGCATTTCCACTAGATAGTTCGCCCTTTATTCCTCCTTCATCACCTGTTCCCTAGTTTTCATCCACCTCCTCTTAGGAAACTGGTCTCCACTTGATGTGTGACGTATTCCATGTTCCCCATCAGGGGAGGCAATGGCCTAATGGTATTATCACTGGACTGTTAATCCAGAGACCCAGGTAATGTTCTGGGGACCCAGGTTTGGATCCTGCTACAGCAGATGGTGAAATTTGAATTCAATAAATATCTGAAATTAAGAGTCTGATGATGCCTGTAATTCCCTTGCCAATTGTTGGGGAAAAATCCCATCTAGTTCACTAGTGTCCTTTGGGAAGGAAACTGCCATCCATACCTGGTTTGGCCTACACATGACTCCAGACCCACAATAATGTGGTTGACTCTGAAATGCCCTCTGAGCAATTAGGGATGGGCAATAAATGCTAACTGGCCCAGTGACACCCTCATCCTGTGAATGAATGAAGTTTTCCTTGTCCATTTTAAGTGTGAGATTTTGAACTTCAATACAAAGTCAGTAACTGTACCTGAACAGTGATTGTTTAAGTCTTCATGCTGGAAATTCACAGTTTTCAGAAAGGAAATGTCATTATCCCTTTCTATACTGTAATTTGAAGTGTTTATTATAAGCTGTTTCTTTCCTCCTCTGCATCTAGTTTCCACTTCCAGTGAATTGCTAGTTTAGAAGTCCTTACTTTCACTCTGTTCTTATTTGCACTGTTATTGGCTCAGTCTGATGTGCTCTTGGCTTGAGCCTGTAAATCACACATCCATCTACATATTCGTAGAATCCCTGCCATGTGGAAAGAGGCCATTTGGCCCATTGAGTCCACACCAACTATCCGAAGAGCATCCCACCCAGAATTCCCCCCCAACACCCTCCCCATAACTCTACATTTCCCATGGTTAACCTACCTAGCCTACATATCCCTGGACACTGTAGGCAATTTAGCATAGCCAAACTGCCTAACCTGTTCATCTTTGGACTGTGGGAGGAAACCAGAGCAAACACACAGACATGGGAAGAAGGTGCAAACTTCACACAAGCACTCACCTGAGGCTTGAATAGAACCTGGGTTCCTGAAGCTGTGAGGCAGCAGTGCTAGCCTCTGTGCCACCATGATCTCAAGGGCTTATGTGTTTTTATGACGGAGTGCTACAATGGTTCTTGAGCCAATGGGCTTTTACAAGCTTTGATTCAAGTTCACATGAGATTGTAAAAGACTATAATTCTGGTAAATTTAAGTATCATCCTCCGTCATTTGATCCTGGAACTTGAGACCTGGACTGAACCCATAAACAAGTTCAGCCATTCTATCCCTCTATCCCTCTTCTATCCGCCTCCCACTCTCTCCCTATTTATTTCAAAACCCCCTTCCCCTCCCCCTTTTCTGATGAAGGGTCTAGGCCCGAAACATCAGCCTCTCTGCTCCTATGATGCTGCTTGGCCTGCTGTGTTCATCCAGCCCTGCACCTTGTTGTCTCGGATTCTCCAGCATCTGCAGTTCCTACTATCTCTGATTCAATTTTAACCCCACTGCGAAGCCTCTTCTAAGGATGCCTAACCTGAAGAAGTTACCCTCCTCCCTCCGGACAAACCTCAAGGGATCTCTCTCCCACTGCAACTCTCTCGTAAACGCTTCGGCCCTGAAACTGCTCGACCACGTCCTGAAGCAAACCAGGTACTACAGCCACATCACCTTCCTTAGCACCTGCCTACGGAACCAGATCATCCCCAATGGACTACAATCCACATTCAAGCCTTCCCAATTTGGCCCCAACCGTGATAATATCTCAAAATCTCCCCTCCCCCCACCGCATCCCAAAACCAGTCCAGCTCATCCCTGCCTCCCTAACCTGTTCTTCCTCCCACCTATCCCCTCCTCCCACCTCAAGCCGCACCTCCATCTCCTACCGACCAACCTCATCCCGCCCCCTTGACCTGTCCGTCCTCCCTGGACTGACCTATCCCCTTCCTAACTCCCTACCTACACTCACCTTTCCTGGCTCCATCCCCGCCTCCTCGACCTGTTTGTTTCCTCTCCACCTATCCTCTCCTCTATCCCTCTTCTATCCGCCTCCCACTCTCTCCCTATTTATTTCAAAACCCCCTTCCCCGCCCCCTTTTCTGATGAAGGGTCTAGGCCCGAAACGTCAGCCTCTCTGCTCCTATGATGCTGCTTGGCCTGCTGTGTTCATCCAGCCCTGCACCTTGTTGTCTCAGCCATTCTATAGCTGCTCTGTATTTTAATTCCAGTCTGCCTGCCTTGATTTTGTAACCTTTATTAACGTTCCCTTACAAAAATATTAAGCTTCTGGGATAACCTAGCACAGAAGGTTTCAACCTATTGTACCTGTGTACAGTATGACACTCAGATTTGAAATGTTTAGCTGATTCAGACCTCAATAGTTTTTGCAGGAGCAAGTTCAGATTTATGGTCATACAGTAATACAGCACAGAAACAGATCCTTCAGTCCAACTTGTTCTTGTTGACCAGCTATCCTAAACTGATCTAGTCCTATTTGCTAGCATTTGGCTCATATCCCTCTAAACCCTTCCTACTTATGTACCCACCCAGATGCCTTTTAAATGTTTTAATGGTACCCACCTCCACCACCTCTTGTGGCAGCTCGTTCCATACACACACCGCCCTCTGCGTGAAAACGTTGCCCCTTAGGTCCCTTTTAAATCTTGCCCCTCTCATCTTAAACCTATGCCCTCTAGTTTTGGACTCCCCTACCCTGGGAAGAAACCTTGGCTATTCACCTAATCCGTGGCTGTCATGATTTTATAAACCTGTATAAGGTCACCCCTCAACCTCTGGCACTCCAGTGAAAAAAACCCCAATCTATTCAGCCTCTCCCTATACCTGAAGCCCTCCAGTCCCAGCAACAACATTGTAAATCTTTTCTAAACCCTTTAAAGTTTAACAACATTTTTCCTAAAGCAGGGAGACCAGAATTGAATGGGTTGTTTCCTGACACCACTTATGAAGGGCATGGAACTCATTTTATGGGTACGCCCCCTTGTTCTGATTTCTTTGTCTTATCAATCCTTTAACCAACTTAAACATTCTTATTAAACCATTCCTTAATATTCAACATTCAAGGAAATACACACGTGAGGGTGGCCCTTTCATGAAGAAGTTGTGTGACAAGGAGAACAAAAACGACATGTAGAACTGCCATCAAGTCATCTGCCAACATGTTAAAATCTGGTGGTGCATATTAATGTGCCAACATGAGACAATTGGCTGCACAGTCAATCAGGGGCACGTGATGAAGTGCTTCCACAAGTTGCATTTATCCACATCCCAGGCATCAGGGGTTGCCCTTCTGTTGCTGTGGATTTGATGTATTGTGCAAGGAAAGCTAAAAAAAGTGGGAGGGGAATTGCATTAATAAATTCAATAAATTCCTTCCCAAAAACTTATTTGTTAACTAATTTCATCTGTTTGTTATTTTTACAGAGGAAAAGAGTGAGGTACTCCGATCTTGATTTTGAGGTACGAATCATCATATATTATCCACAATTAGTGAAGTAACTTGTTTCTACTCTCTTGGCAATAATATCCTGAGTTATTCTGAAACTGTACAGAATAAGGAACTCAAACTGAGTATCATGTATGATCGGATCGAGTCTCACAGCTCATTGTCAATCAGAGATTTCAAAATGTCTCATGAAGCAGCGGGCACAGCTCAATGTTATGAACCTCTGTTGAGTTTACATAGCTTATTAGCAGTTATATCTCAAGCTAACTGTGATTTTAGTCCTACAGTGTACAGATAATGTACAACACACTGTTCGTGAAATGGATCAAAAGAATAAGTTTTGAATTTCAACCTTATTGAATTCATTGCAAAGGTAACAGAATAGACAAGGATAGTGTAGAAGATATATCTCCTGGATATAAAGGCCTGAGGGGTTACCTAATAGAGAGCTTTAGAATTTTGATGTCTTTTGACAGGGTAGATGTGACTCACAGACTATAGACATTTACAGCACAGAACAAGGCCATTCAGCCCATTGTGACTGCACTGGTCAACAACGATCTGACTACACTAATCCCATTTTCCAGCTCTTGGCCCGTAGCCTTAGAGACTATGGTAATGCAAAAGTTATCTAAATATCTTAAATGTTACAGCAGCATTTGATTCAGCCATCATTTCAAGTAATAAGTTCTCTCAGTGAAAAATTTCCCTCAAATCCCCTCTTAGCCTCGACTGGTTATGTTAAATCTATGCCCCCGTTATGAGCCCTTCACTGATGGAAGAAAACATTTTTCTATCCATCCAATATATTCCCCTCATTATCTTACACTACTTTATCATGTCCCCTCTCAACCTTCAAAGAAAAGCAAAATACTGTGGATGCTGGAAATCTGAAATATAAACAGAAAGTCCTGTAGAAACTCAGCAGATCTGACAGCATTTGGGAAAGTTCTGAAGAAGAGTCTTTCTGGACTTAGAATATTAATTCTGTTTTTCTTTCTCCACAGCTGCTGCCAGTCCTGCTGAGCTTATCCAGCAGTTTGTGTTTTATCCCCTCTCAACCTTTCTATTCCAAGAAAAACAACCCTGGCCTTCCAACATTTGCTCACACCTCAGACCCTCTGGCCCCAGGCAGCATTCTGGTCCATCTGCATCCTTCCAGTGCAGTCATAACCTTACAAAAATGTAGAGTCCAGAACTGCATGTACACCTCAGTTATGTTCTAAACCAGTGTTTTTTACAGTTCCAGCATAATCTCTATGCTCTTATATTCTGTGGTTCATCTAAGAAAATCAAGTATTCCATAAGCCTTCTTAACCACTTATCTATCTACCCTGCTACCTAAATAAAAACCAAAAGAACTGCGGATGCTGTAAATCAGGAACAAAAACAAAGTTGCTGGAAAAGCTCAGCAGGTCTGGCAGCATCTGTGGAGGAGAAATCAGAGTTAACATTTCGGGTCCAGTGACCCTACCTCAGAAAGCTCTGTTTTCTCCTCTACAGATGCTGCCAGACCTGCTCAGCTTTTCCAGCAACTTTGTTTTTATACCCTGCTACCTACATGAATTTGCAGATGTGCATACCAAGGGCTGTCTGATCTACAGTACTTTCCAGAGCCCTACTAATCATAGTGTAATCCCTTGCTTTTTAGCCCTCCACAAATGCATTACGTCATACTTTCCCAGGTTCAATTCCATTTGTCACTTTTTCTTCCCAGCTGCTCAATCTGTTGGCATCCTCCTGCAGTTTACAGCTATCCTCCTCACTATTTACTGTTTCATAAATTTTCAAGTCATCCACAAACATCTTGATCATGCCATACCCCCTATATTTAAGTCCAAGTCATTAATGTAGACGCTAAGGGACGCAACACCAAGCCCAATGGAACCCCACTGGAAACAGATTTTCTGTTACAGAAACATCCCTCTATCATGACCCTGGCTTTCTGCATCTCAGCCAATTTTGGAATCAATGTGCCACGTTGCTTTGGATCCCGTAGGCTCTTACTTTCTTGACCAGTCAGTCATGGCAGACTTAAAGCCTTGCTAAAATCCATATGAACCACATTAAATACAGTACCCTCATCAACATTCCTTGTTCCCTCCTCAAAATATTCATTTTGTTACATTTATTTAATCTGAATTAAATTTCTGAGATCTGCCACTGGTGGATATTTGGTGAGATGGCTGGAGGGTGTTAGGGCAAAGCGTGTCTCAGTAGGTTGCCATGAATTGGCATTAAATTAACATAGGTGAAAAAGGTCATAAGTTTAACATGGTGATTATGAGGGGCCATTCGGAATGGGTGAATGCGTGTGTTGGCATGGATGATATGAGGACCAACAAAGTAGATAAGTTCACATTTCACCAAGTTATATTCCACCTGCCATGTTCTTGACCACTTACTTAACCTATTTGTATTGGTTTGTAGCTGCTTTGCATCCTTAAAGCTTTCTTTACTACCTTATTTTATACCTTACTTTTTACATTTTTATTCCTATTTCCTGTTTTATGTCCATTAAACAAGCTTCAATACACACTAATTATTTTTAATATTGGCCATTCCTAATTATCCTTAATGTGTTGAGCTACCTTGAAGTGCCATACGTATACTCCAATGCTATTAGGGAGGCAAAGTTCTGATGAAAGTTCTCAACCCGAAACGTCGATTTTCCTGTTCCTCTGATGCCAGACCTGCTGTGTTCCTCCACCTCGACACTGTGTTGACTCTGGTCAGATTTTCTCTTGTTAGAGATGGTCGTTGCCTTGCATTTGTATGCTGCAAATGTCACTTGCCACTTTTCAGGCAAAGCCTGGATATTGTCCAAGTCCTATCGAATGGACATGTACTGCTTGAGAAGTTGTTAATGTTGCTGAACATTGTGCAACCATCAGGGGGCAGCACGGTGGCTCAGTGGTTAGCACTGCTGCTTCACAGCGCCAGAGACCTGGGTTTGATTCCACCCTCAGGCGACTGTCTGTGTGGAGTTTGCACGTTCTCCCTATGTCTGCATGGGTTTCCTCCGGGTGCTCGGGTTTCCTCCCACAGTCCAAAGATGTGCAGGCTAGGTGGATTGGCCATGCTAAGTTGCCAGTAATGTTCAGGGATGTGTCGATTAGGGGTATGGGTTTGGGTGGGATGCTCTGAGGGCTGGTGTGGACTGGTTGGGCCGAAGGGTCTGTTTCAACACTGTAGGGATTCTATGATCTATGATCAGTGGACATCTCCACCTTTGGCTTTATAGTAGCAGGAAGATCATTGATGAAGCAGTTACACATGATTGGGCTTAGGACAACACTCTTGACATACTTATGTGGACGTGTTTGCAGAGGTGATCTGTGACTGAGATGATTGACTTCAAACAACCACAGCTTTTTTTTTGGTTAAATATAACTTCAACCGGTGGAGAGTTTTAACCCCGATTCCCAATTTCTTCAGTTTTGCTAGGGCTCCTTAATGCCTCAAGCAGTCAAGTTCTACCTTGATATCAAAGTCAGTCATCCTCACTTTATCTATTGATTTCAGCTCTTTTTGTTCATGTTTGGACCACAACTTCATGAGATCATGGGATAAATAGCCCTGGTGGAACCCAAGCTGAACATCTGTTAGCAGGTTATTGCTGAATAAGTGACACTTGGTAGCACTGTCAACAATCCCTTCCATCAATTTAATGATGATCTAGAATAGACTGATGTTACAAAAGATTGTCCTGTTTTTTGTGGACAAGACATACCTGTACAATTTTCTGCATTACCGGGTAGATGCCAGTGTTGTAGCTGTACTGGAACAGTTTATCCAGAGGCATGGCTAGTTCTGGAGCATGAGTCCCATGAGTCTTAATTTTCTGTAATAACCAACTTAACAACATCCAAGATCCTTGGATGATATACTAGTTATGGCAAATAATGAGGAAGGTCTACAAGCAATCCTAGGCACAGTTGTAGCAAACGGTAACAAGTATTGATAATAATTAAGTTGTTGCAAAACTGTGTGCATTACAATATCAAAGAAAAGGATTACACTTAAAGCAATAGCAGAATCATAAGAAATAAAACACGTCAAATCATTTACTTAGCATCTGATAGGGAAAGTGGTTAAGACATCAAGGATCACATAACACTTCCAAAACAAACATTCACAAAAATGTCAGAGCTCTTCAGAAATAAAAATACCTCCATTGAAAACCAAATGAGATTAAAAGCTACATCTAGCCAGTATTCTATGTGGATGGGGAAGCTGGAGCATAGACAAAACAGTAAAAGGTAAAGACAACATAAATGTGGGGCTGGATCTTACTGTATTTTGGCTGTGCAAATTTCACGGAGTTTCAAGAGGGCTTTTCTCCACGAGGCCCGTTGAGATTTCTCAGGGCATTGTATCAAGCTCACCTCATTAACTACCTACTCCACCCCATGACATACCTCGGCTCCTGATTCTACTGCTCACCCTACCCAGAAGAACTTCCACTCACCGATTATCCTAGGATAGATTGGAATCCCTTGCACCCATGCCATATTTGAAAAGCTGTTGTGTACCTGGAAACAGTGGAAGCATTTTGAAGCTGCCCTGCTTAGAACCAGACTAATTCAGAAGGATGTCAGACCAGGGGAAATTGGCACTGTGATTCTCTGACAGGAACTTAGAGATCCTTGGACATGGTCGAGTAAAGGCCATTGTCTTCTGGAGGACTGGCAGAGAACACTATACCAGACCCTGCCATTCTGGGCTGTGGCCAACATCTGGGTCAGTGCCATCTGTGCAATCTGAATGGATGCCAGGTATGCAGGAAGAACGTCAATGACTGTCTTGACCCCACCACGGTAAGTGCCACACCCTCCTGTCTGGTACCTGACACCCATGCCATCTCCCAATAAGACTCTTGCTTTATGACTCCCAGTGTTGCATACAACAGCTTCCCTCATTCACTCTCACCACCCCAGTATCCCAGATTACTAACCTTATATACCCTCTGCGCTGCCTGCTCACTCACTCACTCAGGACACATCACTACTTT